GGCTTTCTTTAGGGATTCTGTATTTACCTATTTTAACATTGTTTGCTAAATCATTTCTTTATATAGAATAAAGAACCAAAAAATTAATCATATCATGTCATGTAAGTTAAAGCAGATTTTAACATGAATCCGATGTTGTATTGCACAACAAAGCTATTCATAAAAAAGAGAACTTTGTTTGGTTTTACGTCGCACCAATACAGTAGAGTGCATATGGCGACTTTCAAGCTTTTTTGGCATGGACGGGCACCAAAATACAACCGCCAACGTTCTGTTAGCTAGCTGGATTACTTTCGCACATGAACGAATCAGCTTCTTCATGAGAAATTATTCCAAATTTCAATTAATCTTTTCTTAATTTACTATATACATATGGTACCTTAGTACAAAAGATTGTTTCTATCGCATGATTGCTGATTTATATGAATGATAGTCATTTTCCTTTTTTCTAACTTCTTCATATAAATATATTCTATTTGCATACATTCATAATTGATAGAGAAACGTATAAATGTTTTGTGCATGTTAAACATCAGGCTTTAAGTCGTTTATGCTATTTGGGAATTTGTTATGACGTGTATGTAGCTAAGTCATATATAACTTAATCTAATTTTCAGTTCGATATATAAAAATATCATATATATCAAAATAGACATTCAGGAAAAGACGATTTATTTCAAATTTATAATAAAGAATACAAACTTTTGAGACACGTGTCGCCATAGTATCCAGGCTTACAAGCACACTCACTTTCTTTACATTCGGCATTCTCTAGACTGCAAACTGTAGCTTTGTTTTGTGCAGTGCATGATGTTCCAACGACTTAAAACAAAATTTAATAGGATTTTTGACTAGTTTAATTTAAGTATATATTAATGCAATTTTTCTTTCCAAACAATATTTGATTGGTTCGGAAAAAAAACAACAAAAAATAAAACAAACAACAAAAAAATTCAAGAAAAACAAAACACTCTGCACCATGCAAATTAAATAACAAAACATGCAAGCTCACGTGATTGTGCTAGCGGTTATATGATTTTATCTTCGGCATTGGACCTGCTCGTGTGCGGTTTTTATACAGGAGTTTTAAATGTTATAATCATATTGAAAATCAACATTTTAACAACTTCGAAAAATTTACTTCTTTAATGATAGTAGTCAGCTCTCTAATATGTACAAATTGAAATTTCTGAGAATGTTAACTTAGTTCTTTGTATGTTGAGTATAAGAACATGTTTGAAATTCTTTAGTTTAACCAAATATTCAAATAGACATTTTACAACGCGGTCCGTTTCTATCAACCGGATGCAGAATTGTCTCGAGCACAATCTGCGTAGGGCAAAATATTATCGCCCTACATGGTAATGCAGTAAAAGTTCAAAAATCCGAGTTAGTTGAACATTAAAAGTATTTTAATAATTATAAAAATTATACATTATTTTAAACTTTTGATTGCTTTATTCTTTAATATTTAAATGACATTTAGATTTATATACTATATTATCTGAAACACTTATTATTTATGAATATATATAATTATAGATAAATAATAATAAAAGTTATATTATTTTGAATGCAATAAAACTCAATACAAACTTAAGCTGCAATTTACAATGCCATTGTATCCAAGGTTACAAGCACACACGCCGTCTTTGCATCCAGTGTTGCGAAGTGCGCATACCGTGCTTTCGGTTGACGAAGTGCATGCCGTTCCGATAACTTTAAGAAAAAGTTAAACAGATTGAATATTAAAATGATTCCATTTACGAGTACGCATGGTTATTAATTTTACTTTATCTTATATTATCTAATCTTATCTTATCTTATCTTACCTACCTACCTACCCTACCTACCCTACCTACCCTACCCTACCCTACACTTCCCTACCCTACCCTAGCCTACCCTACCTACCTACCTTTAACTTACAGGAAGGTTGACTTTATATTTTTTTAAATAAAAATTGAAACTTTCATGTATATGGAAGTTACAGAGCGGACATAACAACCACCATTTATATATATATAACATAAATATTGAAAAAGTTTAAACACCTGCAGTGACCTTGAACTGAGGCGTAGGAACACGGGTCTTAAGGGCAACGCATCATACATTTATGATAATTTTCTATGTGAAATACAAAATAAAATCCTTTTATGCATATTATACGACTATCTCTGGCTATATGTATATTAACATCAAAATTGACAAAGTTTGAACCCCACAGTGACCTTGACCTTAGTCGTAGAAACCCCGAGTCTTGTTCGCGATACCACATACATCTACTGTAAATTCATAATTATGTGAAAGAAAAATCCTTTCATGCATACCCAAGTTTCAGAGCGGACATTACCACCACCTTCTATATTTATATAACATAATAATTCAAAATGGCAAAGTTAGAACCGCCACAGTGAACTTAACCTTAGTCTAAGAAACCAAGGTCTTGTTTGCAACACACCACACATCTATGTTTTTTTTTTTAAGAAAGAAAAAATAAAATCCTTTCATGCATACTGATGTTTCTGAGCGGACACGACAACCACCATCTATATCTATATAACATAAAAATAAATGACAAAATTTGAAGGCCCAGAATGACCTTGACCTTAGTGGTAGAAACCCGAGTCTTGTTAGCGAGCCACACTATACATCTATGTTTATTTCATATGTGAAAGAAAAAATACAATCCTTTCATGAATACCGAAGTTTCAGAGCGGACAAAACCACCACCTTCTATATTTTTGATAACATAAAAAAATGATAAAATTTGAACCCCAACCTTGACCTTAGTCGTATGAACCCGAGTCTTGTTCGCGACACATCATACATCTGGTTATTTCATATATAATGAAAGAATAATTTAAAAAAATCCTTTTATGCATATTGTGTTTCAGAGCGGACATTACCACCCACCACTGTATATATGTATATAGCCGGACGGAATGAAGGACAAACAGACAGACAGACAGATTGACGGTTCGATTTTAATATGCCACCCTTCGGGTGCATAAAAAACATTTTAACGATAAACAAATAACATGTCTGTTGCTTTACAATTAGCAATACAGCAATATTTACATTAATTTAGCATTCCCAGTCAATTATTCGTATAAGTACCTTATTTTACACAAAGAATACTATGTTACAATCTTTGTAAAACATGTTTACAAGTACATGTATACCTTTAGAACACAAGCCGTCTTTGGCGAAGTAACCTTCAGCACAGGTGCATTTTCTACTGCCGCCTATGTTGCCAAGACATATAGAATTTGAAACACAATCAGAGTCCTGTGTACATTCTTTTTCCAACGCTGCAAAATGTCCAAAATAAACATGTAGTGGTACAAAACAATAAAGGATATTTTAAAACAAATTAAGTCATTGTATACGAAATCATTGACTGGTATATAAATAGCGTAAAAAAGATAAATATAAGATAATTTAGAAAAAGAAAATCTCCATTTAACTTAGGGTTATCTTTAGGATATTTCACAATGTTTTTACAAATTATCATATCGAATCTACAACCTTATATAAATAATAGATAATAATATATAATTTGTAGTATAATATTGAAACGAAACACGCATTTTTTTGTCTGTTTAAGGTATTCCGTACAACGTCTTTCAATGAAACTATGCATATTTGATATCGTTAGTTATATATCATTTCTTACATTGTAGATTAGGTTTATATACGAATTTATGTAAGTTCGATTGTGTTGGAAGCTATAAGCTTATTGACTCATCCTCGCAAATGTTCTTGGAACCAGCCAGTAGTAAGCAATAAACGTCAAATTTCTTGCTCAATATAACGACAGCTTACCCCTTACTGGGTTTGAACCCGAGCGGCCAACTATTCTTAGATTAACTGTATCGTACAAAACGGTTCCAAAAATACCAAATTAAGACAATTTCGTAAATATTTGTAATAAAGTGTTTTAATTTAGAAATATTTGTCGATAAAGCTCCGAATATACCATAAGACATGTCGAATAACAAGTAATTATCACGCTATACAAAGAATTCTTTTAATAAATTTTAAAATTACAAATTTTGCATTCGCCCTCTTCTTCTGTATATCCATCCATACATTGACACGTATCATCTTTACATTTCGAATTGAGCGTCGTACATGGTTCCGGTTCTTGAGAACCAGGTACAGCACATGCTTCTCCCAAACCTTAAAAACAAACATTAATATCTATGTAACTATATATATTGTAACAAAATCTGGGGTATTTCGGGGCCATTATGGCAAGATGTGGGTCATTATGACAATTCGGCCGCCTTGCTACTTGGCATTATTCTTAATTTTAATGAGCGCACGTGCAAAATGACGTTATCAACTCTTAGTGACTTTCAAGATGGCTGCTGACGATGAATGAACTGAAGTCACTTGAACACAGAATTTTGAATTTAAATGACAAAATTAATCTCAATCAACAAAGATTAACATAGAAGATTTATAAACTCAAGAAAAGAATACAATAACTCTAATCAAGACAAAGCATGACCCTTAGAACTTCCAAAAATGATTTCAATTTGACAGTAGAAAAAAAGATCGGATCGATGGCAAATAGAGCTAGACATCAGTCTTCTTGAAAGCACAAATGTTCATATTAAACTGGCACTTAATTAACTATTCTAACAATAAAAATATAGAGTATTTATAGATATAAACAACAATAAAAAACATTGTCTCATATTTATTTAGTTTTGTCGGGTAATCGTAGGATTAAACTGAATGACATATGTTTGTTTACATTGACAACTGTCCGTTTCTTAGAAAGGGCGACAACCAAGATAAGCGGCGATGTCTAAATGCTGTATTTCGGACATAAGTATTAAAAACGTTAATACAGGGTTGCTGCTCGGCATTTTGCGATAAAGGCCCGAAGATGTGCATAATGGCCTGAGGGCCGCAGGCCCGAATGACATTATGGACTCGATGGCCTATTCTTAGCGTTACACAATAGGCGCTTCAAAAAATGGCTCTTTTAACAGTTTTCAGTTCTTATTTTATATGTTTTTGTAATAAATATCATATAATATTCGTGTAGATGCAATACTAAATGTATATAATGCTCTACAGAGGCTCTCATAATACTGTGAAATAATTATTAGTCGTGTGGTACGAATCTTCATGGTTTTTGTGGATAAATCAATCCAATGTAAGACCCCACGAAATTTTATCTCAACAAATACTTTTTACCATGTTTCAGTTCCATGTATCACAACATGCACCGGTGCTTTTCCGGCTGATTTTTTTGGTATGAATGTATACTAATAATCAGGTCAGTGACAAATTAATTCCATAAATAGTTTAGTTTTGCAATATTTAAGAAACTTGAAAAGAAAACGATTGCATTTCTTCAGTTTGCTGTCACATGTGAACACCAGGGGGATCTTGATCGTTGTTTGCTATTTGATTGTGTTAGCCAGAGCACGTGACATAATCGAGTAAATATGGGAATGCATTAATTAGCTCCGATAAAACTTTACACGACTAGTGTTTATATTATCCATTTAAACAAATTTCAATATGTATTTATGTGACAGCTATTTAGAAAGTATCAAAGAAGCCGCCGTGTTCTTACTAAATACACACATACATACCTAAGTGAACTGTATTGAGCCACTTACTATGCATATACATTTACACATTCGATGTGACGTAGTGTGTAGTTTTTGACCAATCCAGGGTGTACACGTTTTTACTGGCTGGTTAGAAAGTGGCAGATGTTGTATAATTTATGCGATGTTAACATTTTGCGAATTATAGGGGCAGTGTTACTAATGGAGCTTCATATCATTCCACACAAACGTGTTAATTGCTGTCAATTATCGAAAGTAACTGAGTTTCTCCCAGAGGCAAGGATTAAAATTGACAATAACTGTGCTATATACACGAGGTAAGCAAAACAGCGCGGTGATTAAGTGAAATATTTCTTTCCATTGCTATTTACAAGAAAATGAAAATCCACGAATTTAAGAACCCACGAAAATGCCAGTTTTTATAAAACCACGAAATTTCATGCCCACGAAAACAAATGATTTCACAGAATAACTTTATTCTACCCGTTCTATAAAATTAAGTATCAAACCTTCACTCATTCAATAACATCTATTTAATACTTCTTCCGCATTCTCACCTGTGGCTTGACAAATTGTGATGCAAATTCCAACAGATATGAAACATATTGCAAATGCCCTGTGTAACATCTGTAAACATAAATTAGTGATTAAAAATATGTTCACACATGCAGTTATTAATTACAACTCATCCGTTTTATATATTTCACAAAAGTATATTATCTATACGCAATACATGTTTTTCCAAACCTTTTGCTCACATGCTTATATACTATGAAACATATCATATTAATCAGAGAAGTAATCAACCTGAGGTCATTACATTTTTTTGTGTTTTTACTTACAGCACATGATGTTTTGTTTACGTTCATGTCTTTAGACCGAGCTTACAAATTATTTTACTTTGAATATTTATTAGACTTATCACTATACAATGAAATGACTATGCGTTAATGTATCATTAAACGAACCCCAGACGCTTTCTTGAGTTAAAGTGACTTAACTGACATGACAGTAAAATATTTTTTAGACTTTTTTACTCAGACCATTTGCATACATCTTTGCCAGAGTGATCACTGTTTTGTTGAAATGTACCAAAATACTTTTTCCCAACTTTAATTCTGACTACAAGTCGCATTTTAATCAGTATAATTAGTGTATGATGTATAATTCCTTGAAATTGTTGTCATGTTTACTCATTTTAAGAACCGTTGTCATAATTATATGTAAGAATTTTTATTTTTGCTTTAGACCTCAGTTTAGCTCTTTTAAGATACCACGTGGCTGCCACCTTCCAGAATCGACTAAATTGTTTTTCAAAAAAATATATAAAAAACCAGTAGAAGAAAGGTTAATTATTTATCGAACTTCAATAAAATATAACTTTAAACTTTTTTATTTTGTTATTCTTTATTATTCTTTTTTGTATTTATTATTTGATCAATGAAAAGCAAAGTAATTGCACAGATATCTACCGCATACTCCAGGGTTTCTATTAGATATCTTGCCAGCAAAACGTCAAGACAGGCACTAAACTCAAAAGAACATAAATGGACTCCACTGAGGGTTTTTGACATAACAGTCAGGCAGGGAAAAAATTTCGAAATAAATTTTCATTTTATGTAGATCTATGCCATTAATTTGTGTGGAAAATTTCAGATCATTCGCTCACTGCATTTTTTCAGAATAATTTTTCCTTTTGTGAAAGATGATCCAAAATAAAAAAGCGTTTCATCAACTCTTTTCACTCAAATCGGTCTAAGAATACCACAAAATATGATTACTATTTCTAAGTATATTTTGTTACTATTGTGTGTGTATCTTTCTATTTTAAGTACACCAGGTGGTCTATGTATGAAAATTAAATTTTGTGTTTTATGCTTTTAAACTTATGTGGAGTTCTTTTAATTTGAATATAACAAAATGACAAATTGGTTTTCTCTCGAAAGACGAATGTCAACACGGTTATATCCGAACAGTTCAGACACGGTTAGGTTATGTTTATTCGAAGAAAGCTCATATTCACAATATTTATGATGCCTGTAAATTTAACATGATTGTTATAAAAAAACTGGTAAGTGATGTTCGTTATCTATTTTACAGTGGCACCGATGACAAATTTAATGAGAAATATCTTTATCAATTTTTGATGATATCCACAAGTAGTCTGGAACGTTGCAATTTCGCCCGTACCAAACGTTTCAATGGTTATACTTAATTATTTATATTTTGTGTGAAGCAGACAAAATTGCTTTGAACATTGCATGTTTTGTTAAACTGGGCCAAAATTGTAATAAAATTATGTTAATTGTTTTGTTAATTGGAAAATTGTAGCTTTTTCGGCCCCCTGTGACACATAACTGTAGTTTAAATGCGCACTTGATTGATAGTTTCTAAATAATTGATTAAGTCACTCAACTATCTTTCGACTAATGATATTAAAGTATTACCATCCTAATGCATTACCTCCGCTTTGAAGAGTATTACTACATTGAAAATAAGGGCCATGGGTTCAATTCCCAGAAGGGTCAACTTTATTTTTCTTTCTTTTGTCTTTTAACATTATTTATGTATCTCTCATGTCCCTTTTGGAAAGGATAAGTGTTTAATTTTGATTTTTTAATTTATATTTATTGGTATATTTATAGGTATTTATTGGCTAAATTTTGCTAAATCTAGTAATAAATATGGTACCTGATATTTTCAAAGTGTAATAAAATCAAAACTAGACGGTAAAAGTATTTCATTTTTTACAAGATCAACCGATATACTTATTTAAACATTTAGGAAAACATTTAAAACAGGCACTTATTTGGGTAAAATTTAAGGATTTTTTAAATAAGGCTCCATAATTAGGAAACTTGCGGACATGTGGTAAAAATTGGTGGGGTAGGATAACATTTTTATACAGGTTTCATAAATTTCATGTAGAAACCATAATTTTGCTTATGTTGATTGTTAGCTGAATGGTACTATTCTTCTTGCCAAAAATTAATGGGAACACATTTTTTCATTAGAATGTTATTGCAGGTTCTATTATTTAAAGGTTCCTCCTTCCTGTTTAATTTTTGCATGTGTACTTTAAAGCCTATGATGTCATTTTTTTTAGTTCCTTATAGTGCCTGGTAATACCTTAATTAAATTGACTAAATGAATGTTAAAATTTACATAACAGTATTTCATTTCATTTCCAAACACTGTCTGGCGTTATTAAAATGATATTTACTACAAGAGAAAAATGTTCATTTTGAAATGTATTTCAATTCCCCCCCCCCCCCCGAAGATTTTGTTTGTTGCACTTGTCTGGGAAAAGGGGAAATATAACTGGATATACCGGGAATATACAGTCCTATTTTTGAACTATGCGGGCGGGGTACGGGTGTATTTTTTCAAAATATAGGAACCGGGGATACGAGTCCGTTAGGGAACCCCGGGGTTTTGGGGGAAAAGCCCCCGTTTTATGCATCGGGCATATAGGGAAATTTCCCGGGTATTTCCCACCATATGGAAATGTACGTTATTTGTTTCGAAAATTTTTTGAAGATAGGGGGAAAAAAAATCCCGTAAAACGGACTTTATCAAGGTTGTTATCCCTAGTATACTATAAATATACCAAGGATATACGAGACCGTATTTTCGTACATATACAGAGGATATACGGACTCGTATTTTCTACGTATACAGAGGATATACGGAACCGTATATTCTACATATACAGATATATATACGGACTCGTATTTTCCACATATACAGATGATATACGAATCGTATTTTCCACATATACAGATGATATACGGAATCGTATTTTCTACATATACAGAAGATATACGAATCGTATTTTCTACATATATAAGGGGATATACGGAATCGTATTTTCAATATATACAGGGGATATTACGGAATTGCATTTTTTAGTTGTACACAGGGTATACAGAACTGTATTATCGAGATAAAAGAAGGTACAGATACTATCAAAATCATGCATTTACATATAAGTAACGCGTATACATGATAACCGAAATGCAGGCTTGTAAAATAGAGCGTGTATTGATTACACATTGTGAATTGGAACTGTAAAAGTCATATGCTTAAGAAACTTTATCTTCACAATTGGAGTATTTTTCAAATAATAAAGTAAAAAAAACCAAATCGAGTCACTATTAAATATTTATTATTTTCATAAAAACATATATTCAATATGTATACATATATTATAACAAAATAAACATGTCTTCGCTACAATAGTCATACTTATTCCAGGTGGACACATTAATGTAGCGTTGCAACGGAACGGCGATATACCGGTATGTTGCAATACAGAGTCATGAAATACGTATCACGGTGCAGAAACATCCGCACCGCGATATTTTCTTCAGAGATCGAATTATACATGTACATTGTTCGATATTTTCAAGCCGTAACCTTTATGAATTGCATGTTGTTTAAATCTAGAACAAAACTATGCTAAATTGAAGTTCTTTTCGATTTATCTTAACAATGATTCATATGAGCCACTTATATTACACCCATAAAACATTTTTAAAGATATTCATATCATTTGCTCGTGTTAACATTTACATGTTATTTTAGGAAAATGAGTCCATAGCAAATTGATAATTACAGAAAGTTTTAATAATAAGCATTAAAAATTAAAATTCGTATTTTCAGAAATTCGTCATTCAAACACTGTTCTTAAAAGGCACTTAAATATATCAATCATCTATAGGCCAGTGTGACGGTGTCTATTTCGTGACGTAGGGAAATGTTTTCTCCAGATATTACAATCTTCTTCGGCATGTGTGTATCTGAAAAAAGAGAGTTTAAAATCCTGTTTAAATAGTGTCATGAAAATAGTTATCACAACTTTCAAAAAGTCTATATACACAAGCATATTTTTAAGCGTATACATATATACATTTTTTTTTCTTACGCAAATTTCAAAATTATCTTATATCATTAGGATAAAGATGTTCATTTATAAGCAACCATTTACACAGGATTTAAATTAAATGATTAATCCTTGACGGGATGATAAGTTATATGTTTTTGTTATGAAAACTTTTTACGAAATATTATTTCACACTTGTAATATAAATTATAATGGTATCTTTTGTTCTATGTAAAGAGTATTTTATTGATTAAAAATATATGTAAACAAAATAACATTGCATTGGGAAAAAAGTGCTGACATAATCTTTTTGATCGTTTTACGTTGTATATTAGTATCGGTAGTAGGAGTCAATTCGTTTGAAAAAATGGTTTAAAATGTACAGATATTTGCTACTCAGATGTAGATCCGTGTTTGCACAAAGTGATATCCAGTTAAGTAAAAGGCGGAAATACCCAGCTATACTTCTCATTTATATAAAACGTAAATCTTAACAAAATTTGGATTATTGTTTGTTTCAGTTTCAATTGTTTCAAAAACTATCTCATCACAACTTCACAGCAACGAAGTGAATACCTTCAATATACAATAGTGTGTAGATTAATATTTTTTTTATTGTTAAGACTGTTTAACTAGGTAAGTTGACAATAGAATCTCTTACAGTGTGCCATCACTAAAAATAAAGTGATAATTCTCACAAAAATTTATAAATCAAAATATCCTCCCTTGCCTATAGCATTAATCTGATTGTATGAAATCAAATTCAGGAAATAAAATATACGTATCATATGTGACAATCGCATAAAATAACATAGGAATATATTTTAAGTTAATACATGCGAATGCGACAGTATTATGTGCGCACGTGAAACATTTACGTATCAACGCCCATATCATGATATGTTTCACGTGCGCACAAGTATTGTGGCGTTTAGTATAATAATTAATTGACGAGGTGGTCAAGTCCACCATCAGGTGTAAAACAGCTATCATATTGTGTTTATTATCTTCAAACAGGCTAGCTATAAAGAATAAATAAGATCCAACAAAATTTACCAACTCTCAGCTCTAGGCTCCGGATTTGGCAAGATCACCGCTTTTTTCCCTCTGAAAAGTTTATGGGCTTTAAATTATCAATTCAAATGTAAGAAAAAGTTTTGTATCAATTTTTGCGCAAAGATTAATGAAATTTAGTGCTGTGCTTATTTTCTATTAAATTCTCATTTTTTGTTTTTAAATGTAGCTATATT